ATCATCAATATCTCTTGGTAAATGATAGATTTCTCATAGAGCAATTGGTTTGATAGTGTTATATTAAAAATATAGTCGCCGAAATATGTGTGTTGGCAGTGTATGTCTCCTATTTAAGAAAAAATCGATGAAAGATCGAAAAAATAAAAAAAAATCGACATAAATGAATCGATAAAAAAAATGACTTAATTGATTTGGTTTGGTTCCAACATTTGAAAAATTGACATACTTGGTTGGTTTCTTTTTAGGAATAAATCGATCCAAATCGAACCATGAACACCCCTAGTTATGGTCTTTTATGGTACGTACGTGTCAACTAAGTTTACATCTCATTTTCAACAAATTCATTCTTTTTTTGTATGTTGAAAATGATTTTTTTTTATTTTTAATCAAGTATAAATGAGTACAACTATTAGCTTATTTAAACTCTCAACTAGCTTTTCATATACATCCACTGCCTACCTATTGTAACGACCCGATCAGTCGTTTTGAGAGAATTAGCTCTGAACCCCTATTTGTTGCTCCTTCTACTTCAGTTAGTGGTTATGTAACTTACCGGAAAGATTTGTTTTGGTTTCGTAGTAAAATGAGACACATAGTCCCTAAAATGGAGATTTAAGTTATAGGAATTGACCGTAGTTCGAACTGTGTGAAGATGACTCCAGAATGGAGTTTTGACGGTTCCTATAGCTCCATAGGGTGATTTTGGTCCTAGAAGTGTGTTTGGATGTTGAATTAGAGGTCCGTAGGTGATTTTAGCGCTAATTGGCGAAAGTTGAAAAAAGGATGATTTTTGAGAAGTTTGACTGGGAGTGGACTTTTTGATATCGAGGTCGGATTCTGATTCTAGAAGTTGGAATAGGTACGTAATGCCAATTATGACTTGTGTGCAAAATTTGAGGTCAATCGGACTTGATTTGATAAGTTTCGGCGTCGGATGTAGAAGTTTGAAACTTTGAAACTCATTAGGCTTGAATCGATGTGTAATTCATATTTTTAGCGTTGTTTGGTGTGATTTAAAGGTTCAACTAAGTTCGTGTGATGTTTTAGGACTGATTGGTATATTTGGTTGAGGTCCCGGGAGCCTCGGGTGAGTTTCAGATGGTTAATGGATCATTTTTGGACTTAGAAGATTTTCTGGTGCTGGGCTGGTTCTAGTGTAATAGCACATGCACAAGATTTACTGCAGGTGTGAGCCGGCAGAAGCGAGCAATTGGGCGCAAATGCGGGACTGGGGGACTTGGCCAGTGGTCACAGATGCGACGTAAAGATCGCAAGAGCAGAGTCGCTTCTACGGAAGATTGGTCGCAGAAGCGGACGAGTGTGGGAAGGCATGTCCGCAGAAGCGGACGTTTGCGCAAATGCGCACCCGCAGAAGAGAGATTTGGACTACAAAAGCGGTTCCGCCGGTGCGGATAATTGGTTGCATGTGCGAAAAGCCTGGGCAGTGTTTAAAACCGAAGGGCTTCGTGATTTTTGTCATTTTGGACTTTGCAAACTCGGTCTAGGGCAATATTTGAGAGTATTTTCGAGGGATTTCTTGAGGTAAGTCCCTTGTTTTTATTTTTGATCAATAATCTTATTTTTCCATTAATTTTCCACCTAATTTGTGTATATTTAAGGTAAAAATTAGGAGTTTGAGGTTAGGGATTTGAAGAATTGATTTGAGGAATTTAGTGGCGATTTGGTATAGGATTTTGGTAATTTTGGTATGGGTGAACTCGTAGTCGTGTGGGTGTTCGTATTTTGTGACTTTTACTCGATTTCGAGACGTAGATCCGGGTCGACTTTTTGGGTTGAATTTTTGATTCTTTGCTAAAATCGTAGTTTCATTATTTAAATTAGTTTCTTGTAGTTGTATTCATGTTATGTAATTGCTTTTGGTTAGATTTGGGCCATTCAGAGTCGGAAAGTCGAGGGAAAGGCATTCTTACCGATTGATTGAGTAACATTTGAGGTAAGTGACTTGTCTAACCTTGTGTGGGGAAAATTCCCTTAGTATTTTGGTAATGTTGTAACCGTTTGTGATATGTGAGCTCCATGTACGCGAGGTGACGGGGGCGTACACGAGCTGATTATGAAAAATTTGATTTTTGCTGATTTGTCATCTTTTAAAATACATTAACTGAGTTGCCTAAACATATGTAGTGATCATGTTTAGCCTAGTATCGCATGACATCGTGCCTTAATTCTTACTTGCAATTTGCGCAACATGCTTAGTTGAATTACCTGCTTTACTTGTTTTGAATTAAATGTTTAACTGTAAGATTTTTGCTGAAAATTCACGTTTCCTTTCGATTACCTGCTGCATATTTACTTTGGGACTACGAGGAGGTTCCTCGGGAGATCCCATTGTACTGCATATTTACTTTGGGACTACGAGGCGTTTACTCGGGAGATCCCCATGTACTGCATATTTACTTTGGGACTACAAGACGGTTCCTCGGGAGAACCCTCTGTACTACATCTTTACATTTGGGACTACGAGGCGGTACCTCGGGAGTGTCCCTGCTGTGTACCTCTATTTATTGTGCTGATATTTTCTGAAACTTCTTATTGTTTAAATTCTCAGTCATTTCAAAATATTATTATATCTTTTGCCTTACTTTTCTTTTAAACTAGTGGGGCCTGACCTGACCTCGTCACTACTCTACCGAGGTTAGGCTTGACACTTACTGGGTACCGTTGTGGCGTACTCATACTACACTCTGCACATCTTTTTGTGCGGATCCAGGTTCTTCCCACCAGCCCAGATACCAGTGAGTTGGACCGCTCGTGGAGACTTCAAGGTATATCTGCCAGCGCTCACAGACCTCGGAGTCCCCCTCTATCCTTATTATGTTATTTTTCTTATTTTCCTTTAGACTTTAATGTATATAGACACTTAGTAATTTCTCTTAGAAGTTTGTGACTTATTTCTACAGGATTTTGGGAGATGTATTGATTTTGAATCGTAGTTTGAATTATATCACATGTTTAGATTTGAGCTTCAGTTTTATTATTCAGATATTCTGCAGATTGTTGGGCTTACTTAGTTTTAGAGATTAGGTACCATCACGACATCATACGGAGGGGAAAATGGGGTCTGTGACACCTAGTTAGTAATAAACAACACGTAATAGAAATACAATCCAAAACAAAGTATATTACTATATCTAGATAGGGAAATTATTTAGATTTTAGCTTATCTAATAGCTTTCACTCCATATATGAAATACAAAAGGCAATATATAAGAATCCAATACTCTTGCTCTGGATCCGCTGTTACATGGCAGTCGAGCATTTCATATTTTCATCACTTTCGGAGCCATATAGGTTGAGTTTAAAAAAAAGTTAATGGAGTTTTTAAAAAGGAAAATTATATTTCAAGTACTAAAATATTTTTGATATTCATGATATTAGTATATATCTACTAATAGCCTGTTTGGCCAAGTTTTTCAAGAGGCCAAAAGTGTTATTTTTTCAAAAAATACTTTTTTTCCCCTAACTTGAGGTGTTTGGCCAAACTTTTTTGAAAAAAAAAGTGTTTTTGAGAAGAAGCAGAAACAGTTTCCGAGAAGCAGAAAAAAATAGTTTTTTCCCAAAAGCGGAAACATGAGCAATTTTGACTTTTCTTCTTACCAAAAATACCCTTAACAAAATATAGTATATACCAAAATAACCGTTAAACCTAATACTTATGATATTAATGTATAAATATTTCTTATTATTTTTAGCATAGCTTTCTAATATATAGTGACTTTAGGGGTGAATATTTTTATATTTGTTGAATGATTTTTATAATATATTCAACTTATATTAAAAGAATTAAGTACTTTTAAATTTTATTTTCATAGTTTACTTAAATAAAATAAAAAGATTTAATTATTATCTGTAATAATAAAATTTTAAAATTATTTATTTACTTATAATATTAACTATTAAGTAAATCTATTAATGTCATTATTCGTAATTTGATACTTAAAAGCATTTTCTGAAAAGCTTGGCCAAACACAAATTATTGCTCAAAAATGCTTTTTAGAGTGATTAGCCAAACACAAACTGCTTCTCTCCAAAAGTACTTTTTTCAAAAACACTTTTGAAAAAAATACTTCTCAAAATAAGCTGATTTCTCTAGTTTGGCCAAACAGACTATAAGTCTATAAATATATTTTTCTTTCCTTATATATAAAGACTCAATTACAAAAAAAAAAAAAAAAAATTTTATTGTCTTATTATTGTATATATATATTGATCACGTGAGTAACACATATTTGTTAAGTTAAATAATTACATAATTTATACAATATAAAAGGCAATAAAATTTATAAATTATTTTCTTTTAGTTTGAATGCTTGACATTCACAAAATGGAAAACCATCTTGGGATCCCCCCCCCACCCACTTCCTTTTTAAGTATTTGGAGATTTTTCTTTATAATAATTTTGTATCTGAAGTTCACTGGCCTGACTAATTTTAATTTTTCTGATCCGACTAATTAAAATTTTATTTTTAGAGTGAAAATCGAGACCTTTAGAGAAGAGTGGAGGAATTTTATCTATTTCATCTTCTTATAGTTTAATTTGGAGTTTTATTATTTATAAAAACCTATTTGGAGTTTTTTTAAAATCCTTTTTGGAGTTTATGTATAAACTATGTTATTATGTGCAATTTTTCTCAAAATTCTATGCATAAATTAGAAAACGCTATGCTACAACTTGTACTTTAGGTTGGACCATCTGTTCATAGGAAAATTGAAACATTAGAGGTACTTGTACAAAAATATAAAACTACTTGTGAATTTGTAAATCCAGAAGTCTACAAGACTTTCGAGTTTTCGACCACTTCATGAAGTTCAAAAAATTAAAATAAATATAAATATAAAAATAAAAAGTGTCGTAAAACAATAAAATAAGAAGAGTATGTTGTAGAAAAAAGTACAGAGAATTCTGAGTTTTTGGATAAGTTACAGTGAAATAGAACTGTTTTATTAATAGAGAAAAAAGTGACTTAATGACAAAGTAGTAATACTTATCAATAACAAACAGAGAAAAAGAAAAGAAAAGAAAAGAAAAGGGAAGAAATGTTCGTGGATCTTCACTCAGATCCCCTTTTCAAGGAAGTGAACTAGAGGGGGAGATTACAAACAGAAACCCTATTTCCATAATTAACACTTAAAGAGAGAACGAAGAAAAAATGGGTGCTTTCGTGAAGCTACTGGACTTTCTTCTTTTCACCTACTTTTTATTCATAGCCATTGTTGCACCATTCTTTGATGGCCAAGCTGCTCTTCCTAAACACATGTTTCCGCCCGTGTTTGTTGACCTAAAAACCTGGTACACTCAAGAATATGGTGACTATTTGGTTTCTGAAAAACCCCATTTCTTTGTTGGGTTAATTTGGTTGGAGCTTCTTTTTGCATGGCCTCTCTCTGTCATTACTCTTTCTGGGATTGCTGCTGGAAAATCTTGGGTTAATACTACCTGCTTGGTCTATGGTGTTTCCACTCTCACATCAATGGTATTGAATTTGTGTAAATCTAATGCCAATCCTTTTTTACATGTCACTTTTAATTGAAGATTGTAGATTGTTGTGCTAGCTTCAAATTATCTCTTTTCTCGTGATTGTTGTTTTTTTAATCTGTGGAATTGGATTTAATCAGATGGAATTTAACAATATTATGGGATGAAACATATCCATTATGGGTGATAGATGTGTGTGTGTGTGTTGGTTGGGGGGGGGGGGGTTGCCCTTTTTTTTTTAACCGTATAAGACTGGAAAGATCTAAACTTTCTAGAGTAAGTGGCATTGCCGTTAACCCAAAGCTGTAAAAATTGTAACTTTTGGATCTAAAGATCTCCTTAATTTTTTCTTTGGGTGCGGGGATACAACAAAGTGAAAGGCAATATAATTGACATTGGAAAACTTAAGAGCAAAAGAAGGTAACATTATAAAGATTGGAAAATTCAAGACTATCACTGATATTATAGTGCAATAGAGAAGAATCCTAGATGCACAAGCACAACCACAACTTATTGTAGCGCTTCTGGTTTTTGAGGGATCAGTTGTGCTATACTTTTGTCTTGCAGAAATCATCTTCCACTGAATTATGAGGGTGCCCAAATTCTGTTGCAAATACTGAATTCAGATTCAAAAACTAGCCTTCATAATTGTGCACTTTGTGAAACATTTGGAATATTTATGTTGATTGTTGACTCTGTTTGCAGATCACATTTTCGTTTATGAACTCATTATGATATCTAAAGGAGTTCCCAATAGAAGGGTTTGACACGTCCTTTTGCAATAGTTATAGTTTCACAAAAGTAAATCTTTTGTCTGTTGATTGCTTCCAATTATTATATAAACATTTGATTCTGGATGAGGGTAAAAGGTCATATTAGAGTTGCAGAAGTTCCCAACTTGAGGTAGCAGTGAAGTAGAGTTGCATCTGCCTATGGTTTGCTTTTCTAATTAACGTCACAAATTTCAGGTGGCGATACTAAGTGAAATGGTGGGTTCCCAGAGAGCGTCGGACAAGTTGCTGATGTTGTACTATCCATTTCTAGGATTTGCTGTTTTAGCAATTTTACGTGGTCTGATACCTCATTCTGGCAAGACTGTGAGCATTGGAAAAAGATCTGCTATAAGCAGGAAGAAGAGGGCTTAATCTTTCAACTCAGATGCTATAATCGAATAGTTTGTATTTCTTCCGGCATGGGTACCTAAAAACCATATCAATTTTTATTGTTGGTTCTTTTTTTGTTTCCCCTGTTGATATTAAGGTCTGATGCTTGGGTATGAGTTTTTGACATAAACAATCACAAAATGAGTTGTAGTTTCACAATTACTGGAATTTTGTTAGTTTGAAAAGCTTGATGTGATATTTTTCTTAAAATGTGGTTCGCGACAATCTGTTGTTGTATTGTTAAAGAATAATTGATTTAAATTGAATAACAGATAGCAGTAAATTTTTGTAATTCTCTAGAAAAACTTCTAGCAGTAGAGACTCCATTTGAGTTGCTTAGAAGATACTTACAATGTATTGTGTTCAATAGGATAAAATGGTGATTTGTGTGTTTAGTAGTAGTTGATAGGAAAAAACGCTGCAATATTTAACAGTATTACTTGGTTAAAATTCTAGCTAATTGACCGTTCAGTAGTAACAAATGACTTCTGATCCTTTTGACAATATGCTGAGGAATTTGACTGGAATGTTTAACGTATCAGAAAATTGCACTGAATAGTTCATCACTCAGAATGGACGAAGGAAATAGCTTTGGACATTCATATATTATGCTTTCTTGCATTTGCTCCTTTTGACGTTCTCTAGTTGGTACAGTAGAAGCTGCTTAATTATGAGGGTAGAAGCTGAAATGAACCCAAATTCCTTGCATGATTTCTGCGGACAATTTGGTGTGAAGTCTACTTGTATGATTTTCATGCTATGACTGGAAATGTTTTGACTTAATTCGAAATAAACCCAGTAGATACTTTCTTTATTTGGCCCTATCGGCAATGAGAAAATCTCATCTTTTGCTGCTTGGATGAAGTGCTTTGAGCTAGAGCAGCTACTATAACTTTAGTATTAAGATTTCACACTACTTCAAACCATTTGTGTTTCTTGATCATAGTTAAGAATAAATGAGATCCATGGAAGTCTTTTCTGGGCTTGCTTCTTTATTGAATCATGTGCCTCTTGAGTTATGCCAACAACACTTTGTGGAACTCCTTAAAATAATCACAGTATCCTCTTTCTGGTTTTCCACACCTCCACTACGTTAGTGATGTGTGTCCTTAGCTCCATTGGTTAATCTTATGGCTAAATCAGTTATAGCCATAGCCCCAGACAAGGTTGTGTATATTTGTAATGCACTGAGAGAAACTGATGCGATGGAAGTAGTTGGTCTTGCATGTGCTTGTGGCTTGTTGTTTCCGAACTTGTATCTCCAGTTGTGTTTAACGTTAAAGCAGGGATGTTAAGGGACCAACTTTGGTTGAATGAATGGGGAATGAGGAGTTGTCTCCTCCTTGTGGTTAGAGCTTTTGAGGATGAGTTAGGCTAAAGGTCCATGAGTTAGGCTTAAGGTCCAATTCTTAATTAGGTTGGGTTTTGAGCTGCACACTGTTGTATCATCTGTCTAAACCAGTTCATATTTTTATAAATTTCTAAATTAATTTTATACCAGAAAAAGTTATATAATCTATAACGTGCGAAGGAGAAGGAACTCAGAAAAAGATGCACTTGAAACAAGTTGGTGTTGTAGCCTTTCCTTTATTTGTTTCTTCGTTCAATTCCACTGCCCTTGATTTTGATTAAGATATTTTTGCTGTTGTGTGCGACTGTGAGATTTTGCATGGAAATTCTGGTCGATCAATATGAACCGTGAATGCACCCTTCTCACCAGTCACATCCTCATAAAAAAATAAAAATAAAAATTTGAACGTTGTAGCCACCTGAGTATTTGGAAAGTAACAAAGCAGTCTACTCGGAAACAAACCACATGAACAGTAGGTGAGATGGCTGGCAATCTTCTAATTCATATTATTATTGGGATCTTGAGTACATTGGGCCATACTAGCCAGTGCATCTAAATCTCAATTTTGAGCCACAAAATTCAAAGATTATTTTGGTGCATTATAAAAAAGTGTAGATAACAATATATTCAGCATGTAAATTAAATAAATCGTTCCGTTGATACTGAGAAATTTTAAAGAATGGAACTTAATTTAAAAGTATGCGTGTAGCTAGGTCATTGTGAAGTTTGGTCCATTGTCCAATAAATTGAGACATGACGAGAAGTTGATAGATAATTACAAATCATAGGTCAATATAGGAAACCTATATGTATTTGTAGACACAATCAGTCTAAAAAGGAGACATAAATTCTAGTCATAATTGTATCACAAATATGTTTATCAAGCAGTTGTTAAATGGACACATGTATCACACCAAAGTTGAGGAAATCAAAGTGATGTGGAAAAGGACAGGAACGAGCTGCCAAGGCTTTGAGTACAATTAGTTAGGTTATGATAGTGATTGCAACGATGGCCATGCATTTGCCCGAGCTGTATGTTTGCTAGATATTTGCAGACATTATTGATTTCTTTCTATAATATAATATGATCCGAATTTTATGACCTATAGCATTAGCGAATGGCATTATGATATATGTCAAAATGTTTTGTCATCCTTCGAAAAGATTTCTGTGTAAGGAAACTTGACCTGAATCTTCAATAATGATCGTTCATTACTTCCAAATATACCCCATCCTCTCCCTCCCCCTCCCGAAGGAAAAAATCAAAAGAAAAGAAAAGAAAATTTATTCCCCCCAACTCTGCGTTTTTCAATAATCCATTGACGAAAGTATATATTCAATAACCCGTTTATGAATAATATATGTTAGAAAAATAATGGGATGAAATAATCTGACTTCGATAGTGTAATCATTGTCCTTAAGAAAATTAAGTTTCGCACTTTGTTGCTGCAGGGATAATAGCATAATTCTTCCAGAATTTTACAAAGCTTCCGAAATTCGAGTTTCAGCAATTAACTCGAATTTTTCACAATAACATAATATTTGAGAATTGTAAAAAATAAGTAGAAGAGAAAGAGATGAGAATTTTTAGATGTTTTTCGTTTTGGAGATGATACGGGTATTTATAATACCTCTAGGAGTCTATTGGAATTAACAGACTCATCTTTTCATAACAGGCACCTTATAAAACCAATAGTCACCTTTTTTGAATTTAAAAAAGAAAACTTTTAAAAACCGTTTCCTGAAATTTAATTTAAAAATGCTTTAAATTAATTAATAAAATAATAGGTGACCAAAATATTAATAATATAGTCAAATTTTAATTTTCCTCCAAAACATCCTTCAAAATATTCAAACTATATAAGGCAAAGAAGTACTTTTAATCACTTCTTCCTTTCTTTATTTTTTCAATTTTTAATGAGGGACAAAACAACCTCTTCTCAAATACTTCCGTCAAACACTAACTAATCTAACAATATATTCCGTCTTATTTTTACTTATTTTGAAATCCTCACTCTGCGAAATGATTCTCTATAAATCTAGTTCTTTTACTGACACCATCCTTTGCTATTTTTGTCATTTTATAAAATATTGAGAATAGCTTGCGTCATAAAACCGTGTTTTGCATATTATTGATATGCTCATTAACACTTAAAGGTAAATTAGTATGGGCTAAAAGAAGATCCATTTGTAAAACCACTACTATATTACTAGGATACTCAATTATTGAGTAAATTTCACGGATTGTCATTCAATTTTGTGTTTATTACCCAAAAGTTACTTTTCTTTCTTTTGTTACACAAAAATCATCTTACTGTGCTCTAGTTATCATAATAATCACTTTGACCAAATTTTACAAACCTTTCACCAGAAAAGTCTATTATGCCCTTGGCATTATAAATCCTCTCATTTGTGTAATACCTTCTATATTATATGCTATATAATATACTTTTACCCACATATTTTACTTATGATTAAAATAACTTAATATTATTTTATTTATTATTTTTATAATATATTCGTACATTTTATTATTTTTTTAATATTAATTTTCAAGATATATAAGAAACATTATTAAATTTATCAGTAACATTACCGTGAACAAATCCCAAGTCCACGTTCTTAATCATGCTTAATGAAATATATTTAAGAAAATCAAAGCTCATTGATTTATCAGCCAAGCCATATCTATTAATTTAATAAACAAACAACTCACATTTAGCAAAATGACACATAAGATTAATACTTTCAAATAAATAATATTAACAGGTAAAGCTTTAAAAAACTTAATATTAAACACAAATATCTTTGGAACCTCTTTTAAAATTTGTATTGACTATAAAAAACTATCATTTGTTAAACAAATATGTTTTTATTATATTAAATAAATATTTGTTTATCATTTTTATATTTAAAATATGTTCGTATTTGAATATGATTAAACAAATTGAGTGCCATAAAAAAAATTAAATGTATGGATATATTATAAAAATAATAAATAAAATAATTTGAAGTTATTTAATTATAAATAAAATACCTAGGTAAAAATATATTTATATAGTATACAAGGACATAATAGACTTTTCAAGTAAAAGTATTATAAAATCTGGTCAAAGTGACTTTTGTGATAGATAAAGCAAAGTAAAATAATTTTTGTGTAACAAAAAAAATAAAGAAAAGTAACTTTTGGGTAATGAACACAAAGTTAATGATTTTTACGTAACAAAAAGAAGAAAAGTAATTTTTACGTAATGAGCATAAAGTTTAATGACCACTCATGAAATTTACTCCTCGATTACTTGTACGTATCTCCAATTCTCCACTTTTCTTATAGAGGAGTTCCCAACATTTGTTTAATTGACCTGATATTTTTCAAAAAGATTCTTGGAATTTTCAACTAAATAAGTTGTTTTTCTACCATTATGTGTAGGGGTGTTCATAGTTCAGTTTGAGTCGATTTTTCTCTAAAAATGAGCTAAACCAATTAAATCATTTTTTCAAATATTAGAACCAATTCGAACCAATTAACTCGAGTTTTTATAGGTTCGGTTTATGTCGTGTCACGACCCAATTACGGACGTCTCCGCACCGATCCGCAAGACTCTATTAGGCCTCCTCATAACTTGTGAGACCTACGTGAACCTAGTGCTCTGATACCATGTTGTCACGACCCAATTACGGACGTCTCCGCACCGATCCGCAAGACTCTATTAGGCCTCCTCATAACTTGTGAGACCTACGTGAACCTAGTGCTCTGATACCATGTTGTCACGACCCAATTCCCTTATAGGCCGTGATGGCGCCCAACGCCGCCGCTAGGCAAGCCAACAGTGAACTAGCCATGTATCTATTATTTTAA